AATATAAAAAATAAACTGAACACAATGAAGATTGTGATTTAAATGAGAGAAGTGATTTAAAACATACAAAAAAACACATAAAAGCAGAAAAATATGTTCTTTCTTCAAAAAAGTATAAATTTAAATAGAATAAACCTTCCAATCAAATGACAGGAATTAGCAAGACACATATTCATATGACTCAACTATATTCTGTGCACAAGAGGCTCAATTTAGATATACAGACACAGATGGAAAGTAAAAATATAAAAAAGATATTCTATACACATAATAATCAAAATAGAGGTATAGTAGTGATACTAACATCAAAAAAGAAAGAGAGATTTGAAGCCCGAAACTGATACAAACTGTAGCATTATATACGGATGCAAAGGTCACTGCATCAAGAAGAGATAATAACAACTACAAACCTACACACAACAAATAATAGAGTCCCAAAAATATGAGGTAAATATTAACAGAACTGAAGGAGAACAGTCTTATAATACTGGAAGATATCAATGTCTTTCTTTTAATAATAGATACAACAAACAAAACAGTAGTTAGTATATATAAAACTTGGGCAAAACTGTGGACTCACTGGACCCAACAGACATTTACAGAATATTCCATCCCATGGTGGCAAAACACATACTTTTTCTAATACCCATGGGATATTCTCGAGGACATACCACATATTAGGACACAAATAATTGTAAATGGGTTTGAGAGGACTAGACTCAGAGATGGTGGGGTAGAAAAGGGAAAAGGTAAGTAAAAAGAATTAAGATAGGTTATGTACATCCCCATGATGAATGTATTCATTATGTACTACAAACATATACTAACAAAAGTCCTGAAAAAATAAAAGGATTAAAATGAATAAGATATTCCTTATTTAATGACCTACTTTTAAGTTTGAATCATTCAGACTTATGACCACAGCGTGCTGTTTGGACTTAGGACCTGCCACTTGTATTTATGATCCATCTGCTTTTTCCTTTCATATAGTTCCGTACCTTTTGTTTATAGACCCTCAATGTCTTTTTTCGTGCAGTATATTTTGTTTTTACAGTACTGTAATTATTGCTGTTTATACTGTATATCACCTTACTATAGTTTTATGTTTTTATACATTACAATACTTCATGCAAGATTTATGCAAATAAAAGCAAAGTCATCAAACTCAAGTTTCCTTTGACTATTTCTTGATTTGAATATTGTGATGCAATACTATATTCATTTCCTCATTTAGCAACCAATTCAGTTAATGACCTAGTTGCAGGAACATGACTCAGCTGTTAAACAGAGATGTCGATATAAAGTACCTTTTCTTATCTCAGTAGAATAAAACTTGAAATCAAGAAAAAATAAAAAATTGATAGTGTTGATATAAACAACACAACCTCAAACAATCAGTAAGTCAACTAAGAATTTACAAGGAAAATTTCAAAATATTAAAATGAATTGAAAGCATATATAAGACAGTTGCAGTGAACACTTACTGAGTTGTAAAGTCAGTAGTTAAGAAGAAAATTTTATAGCTATAATTACATTAATAAACAAGAAAGTTATCAAACACACAGTATTATGCCTTAAGAATCTAGAAAAAGAAAAAAAAAACGAAACTCACAAATGGAGCAAAATAATACAGATTGGATCAGAAAATCAACAGAGAAAAATCAGTGAAATCAAGTGTGGATTCTTTCAAAAGTTCAGCAAAATTGACAAATAGATTGCATAAAAGCAAACAATCAGAAACAAAAAATATTATTAAAATAAATTTATAATAAAAGGATTACAAGACAATACTCTGAAAAACTGCACACCAAATCAAATAACCTAAATGATGAATTCATTCATAGAAACACCGAACTATTGAGAATGAATGATAATGAAACAGAAAATCTGAAAAGACCAATAGTTGGGAAGAAGGATGAATCAGTTATCAAAAAACCTACAAACAAAGAAAAATTTAGGACCATAAGGCATCATGTTAAATTTAACAAAACATATAAAGAAGAATTAGCACTGTCATTCCTCAAATTGTTTCAAAATTTAGAAGACTAGGGAACATTTTGAGACTAATGTTACCCTAAAGTCATTTTCTTAAATTACAGACTATTATCTCCCATGACACAAAAGGCTTTAAACAAAATATCAAAAAACAAAATCTAATGACATAATAAAAAGGATTTTATTCCAGGAATGCAAGTGTGGTTCAACATAGGAAATTAATCAGGCAGCCCATTCAGGACACCTCCTTTCTCTCAGGAGGAATTCCTTTTTCCCATTCCCCATTCCTATTCCCCATTCCTTTTCTCCAATAACTTTTCCTACTTTTAACCTCTATTGTTTCTTAGAATTCATCTGCGAATTTGGGGGACATAGATTCAGTATATTTGACATCTTCCATTTCCTTTACATCATCTTAAAGGTCCCACTGAGGTCCTGGGAAGGAGAAGGTGCCAAACTCCAAGTAATCATGCGCATGGAACCAAAGACAAATGTGCCAGACTCATTTTTGGGAGTCACTGGGTCAACATTAGAAATAGTTCATAACTATTAAACTTCAACGTGACTTCTAACCATGGCCCATTAGATTATCTCTCTGGAGAAGGTCCCTGACTGTGGTTTCCCCTACACCACCCCTTCTCAGTTCAAAGCAGCTAAATGGCAACAACAGCCCTTCCTCCCTAACCACAGTTAAGGAAACCGCTTCAGAGGGAGGAATAATGCAGAGAGCTAGCTAAGTTAGATAGAAACATAGGAGGCAGCCAGCCAGGGCTGGACCACTGAGAGAGTCAGAGAAGAATGCAACAGGACCGTGGTTGAGGTGCATCTGAAAATTAAAGTCACAATGGCAAGTTTTACATACCTCTAAGAGATGAATGGAAGTTTGGGATTATTGGCTTTACCTTTTGAGATTTCCCATTATCTCATTAGGGATGGGCCATCCTCTTTCACCTAAAACTAACACTAAGACCATTAAGAGTAGGACTACTAAAACTAAAGATAAGACTAAGACTATAGATTACTGACCACAATTAATGATGTCACCCAGGTACAAATTACCATTAGATCAATATTAGCTAAGTGACTAATGTTTTCAAACTTACTGATCATAATTTTGATCTACATTGTATTGTACCCACCTCATGATTTTACTCTATAAAACTTCCTTTGAGAGTGAGCTTGTTGACCACCCACTAAGCACCTTTCCTTTCTCTCAAGAGCTACTCCTGTTTCCCATTCACCTATTCCCATTCTCCATTCCTTTTCTTCAATAAATTTGCCTACTCTTAAAATTTTTTTTTAAAAATTAATCAATGCAATATACCAAATCAATAAAATGAAGGGAAAGAGAAATACATGACCTTCATTTGACATAGAAAATGCTTTCAAAAAATCTGACACACTTTCGTAGTAAAAAAGAAAAAAAAACTCAGAAAACTCAAAGAGGATACTTATAAAAATTCACAAATGAGACAATGGTGAAAAACTAAAGATTTCCTCTGAAGATCAGGAGAAAACAAAGATGTCTTCTTTAGCTCTTCAACAATGTACTTGACATTCTAGACAGAGCAGTTAGACAAGACAGAGAAGCAAAAGCCATCCACATTTGAAAGGATCATCTATACACCTGATCATACATATAGAAAAACTCAAAGGTTACACACAAATATGTTAGAATTAACATACAAACCCAGCAAAGTTGCAGAATGTAGGAGCACTAGATAAATTTTAGTGGAATTTTTCTCCATTCACAATGAATAATTTGAAAATTAAAGAAATTTCAAAACTATAAAAATAATTAGAAGTAATACATACCTAGGCCTCACAATAATATTACACTAAACACTATCAAACATTGCTAAAACAAACTAAATAAAAGATGTGCATAAAAAGCATTTTGTGTGAATAGGAATACTTAAGATTATTAAGAGGTCAACGCTTTCAAGTTGACCTACAGTTAGTACAATCCCTGGAAAAATCCCACGGCCTCCTCTGCAAAAATATGGATACTTTTATCTTAAAATTCATATAAAATTTTAAGGGGCCATAAATAGCCATAGGAATGCTGAAAAAGAAAGTTGAAGGACTCACAGTTTCTATTTCAAAACTTAGTAAAGGAAAAAAAAAAGCCCTCCATAAATAAACACCATATGGCATTGGCCTATGGATAAAGATATAAATCACTAGAATGAAACTGAGCATAAAACCAAGTTACACACCAGTGGTCAGCTGATTTTTGATCAAAGTTCCAACACTATTTAGTGGAAAAAGAATAGTCTTTAACAAGTGGTCCTGGTGCAAACTTATTTTCATTATGGAAAAAACAATTACATTATTTCAAACTATTTATAAAAATTAACGATAAATGGGTCAGTTGACTAAATATAAGAACAAAACCAGTAGAAGTTTAAAAGATTGAGAGTAAATCTGTAAGACTTTTAGTTTGGCAGTGGACTGTCAGACGGGACTCCAGAAGCACATAGTTACACTGGGATTTTTAAAATGAGGAACTTCTTTACAGCTAAGGACATCATTGAGAAAGTGAAAAAGACAATCATTTTCAAACAGTGAGAAAATATTTACTAATCATATATATGATAAATGTTGAATACCCAGCACATATAAAGAACTACCATGACTCAGAAACAAAAACGACAACCCAGGGGGCACAGGACTTGAATAGATGCCTCCAAAGAAGATAAGCAAGAAACGAATAAGCTTATGAAAAGATGTGTAAACTTATTTAGGAAAACACAAATGTCGTATAATTTCACTTGACTTTATTACATAGAGTTGGCAATTTCCACTTCACGATTATGCTAGAATGCCCTATTTTTTAGCAACATAAGTTCTGGATTGCAAGTATGTGCCACTGTGCTTTGCTCACATTAATTTTTGTAGCATTGTCAGTGCATTTGTAGACTAAGTGATAACTGGGTATTTAATAAAATTATTTAATTAATTTGTTGCACATTTCATGTTACACAAGAAAAAAATCTGTTTACCTTGAAACTTTTCTGCTGTTGGGTACGTTTCATTTTCAGTCTTCCTTTGTAATTTCTCTTCTGATACATCAGCCTTAACAACGAAAGTTGTAATAACTGATTATAAGTCTCAGAACTAGTTACTCTCAAAGAAAAAGATAGATTCTTAGTCTCACATAAAATCTCTTTGCAGAAACATTTTATTTGCATGATTTCCCTAATGTATGTATTTAGAAACACTGATTAGTATCGAGAGTTAAGAAATACTGTGCTTCTTCTTCACACTAGTGCCAAATAAACTGAGCTAAAAATTACTGAATACTATTCTTGTTTAGATTTATATTTTGGTCTGCTTCCATCTTTAGGCAAAGTCCAATTCTTACAAAGTTTTCTTATAGGGACCTTGTAATAATGTGAATGATAAAAATATATTGCATATACATGGCAAGAAATTTCAGTATTTTATATTTCTGCCTGCATATTTGTCCTTAGAACTTAATAAATAAGCACTTTTCTAATAAAAGCAAATTTGTAATTTTCTAGGTCTACCTTAAAGGTATATATGAAATTATTTCAAAATTATTAAGCCTTTATAATCACCTTCTTATATAAAAATCACTTTGTAGATGAATCTAAAATAAAAATTATGAAAATTTCTCATCTTGGGAATTATAGAGCTTTTCACTTTTCATTAAAACTATAATATAAATGACAAAGTTTTAATCAATATTAATTAAAATCTAAAGTATTACTAAGATTTCTAAATATTGTTTTCAGTATCTTAACAGTTAAAAACCAGTTGTATTAAAAGAAAACTTTTATTCCTTGAAATAAGAAAATACTTATTTGAAAATACTTATTGATGAGATTTTTAATTAGCATTTGCTCAAGATACTGAGTCTAGTAATTTCCAGGTCATATTATATCGCACCTTTGATTTATCTTTAGTAAGCATAGGAAGTGCAGTCAACAATGCAGCTGATTTTTTCTTCTGAATCCATTTTCCAAAGGAGAATGAATCTTGACTTCCTTTGCTCCATGATACTGATGGACTATCCTGGGTGTCTGATGGAGATATCTGGGATACGTTTTTATCAACTGAAATTTCATTTGAACTCACTAAAGCTGATTTTTGTTGAGATTTGAGGGTCTCTGAAAGATCTGAAATAGCAGGGCTAGATCTTTTCTTCTCTGAGCTTTAGAATTACAAAACATCTAGTATTAGATTATATGAAGAACATTTGCTACTGAAGAATCATTTTCATAACATAAGGATATTAACCAATTACAATTATTCATCATTTAAAAGCAATACAATAGGAAGCTGATGTTATACAAGTCATTACTTGATAGTTATGAATCATCTGTGATTTATAATAGTTATATAAACATAACACTTAAAATACTTTAACATAATAGTTCAAGTCATAAACAGGTAACAGAACAAGAAAAATTTGGTCATTCGAGGTACAACACAGGATGGCTTGAAGTTACATTTGGCTTTAGTTACATTTACTCCAAAATTATTTTTCTGGTTTCATTTAATAATGAAAATAAAAACCTAGCCGGGCGTGGTGGCTCACGCCTGTAATACCAGCACTCAGGAGGCTGAGGTAGGAGGATCGTTGCAAGTTCGAGACCAGCCTAGGATACAAAGTGAGCTCAAGGCCAGCCTGAACTGCGTAGAAAGACCGTTTCAAAAAAACAACAACAAAAAAAAAAAAAAAAAAAAGAAAAGAAAAACCTTTCCATAGCAGTTTTGACATTAAAAGATAAACTCTCAAATTCTGAGTAGTTTTCTTCAAGGTACAAGATGCCATCAGCTGGCATAGGATTGGTTTTCCAGGTGCAGAATCAGAGTGATCATATATATCGCAGTACGCCCTCACAGTTTCAGCTGAATTTATCCAACACTCTTGTTTAGATGCTCATTTAAACGAACTGTCTATGCTCATAATAACATTTAACAAGGCATATTTAACCCTATTGAATGCAAGAGTTTGATGGTTCTTAATGTTTCGGTTAAAATTTTTGTAAAGTTTCAAAATAATTTAAGTTTTGCTCTCATAGAAACAAAACTGTCAAACATAACAGTTTTGTGTGTCCCCATCCTACATGTTTTAGTTTAGGATGAATTTCAAACAACAGATTTTACATTATAAAAAATGGGAGTGGAGTGTGGAAAACATGCCCAACAATAAAAGTGCAAGGTCATTGGTAGTTAAAAGATAAATAATTAATGACAAGAGAACTTGGTGATGTTACTATACAGAAGATTTCAAAAGTAAAAGGAACAGGTAGCTTTCGGTCCTAAGTTGTCAAAGGGTAACATCGCAAACATACTTCAGTGGTTTTAGTAGGCACTTGGATTTAACAGGACTCATTATACAGTGTAACAGTCACTTTAGAGACTAATTTTAAAGACACACCAATAGGTCTATTGTTATCATTGGGTCAATAAAGCATAAAACTTACTCAAACACATAAGATAAATCTTATTCACAAGCATATCTCAGGACACAGGCTACCATTCTTGCCACTAATACTACAAATAGCTGCAGGTACAAAGCAAAATACTTCAAAAGGTTTTGGAATGGTTGATTGGGGATATCATTAATCGGTGTGAAATAGTCAAATGGGCTAATCATAACAACGGAGAAAATGTGCAGCAGCCCCAATAATAAGGCCATAAATACAGAGCTCACTTATAACTATATTCCTACTTTCAGGCATTTTTTTACTTGTATTATTACCTGCCACCACAAAGAACCACTGCACAATAACTACAATATGGCTGAAGGTCAGGAGTGAAAATATTTAAAAGGATGCAAGTAGCCTTGAGATCAAACTGGCATCAGCTAAATCAGTGTCTTTAAGAAGTGGAGACAGGTATACTTTTAAATGCACACGATTATGGTATCTGAACGTGAAGGAGGAGGATGAAAAGCAGGAAAACTATAGAAGGTTTTACTCACATAAAAATTAATAATGGTAACAATGAAGGGTTTTTTTTTGCTCCCTTCCAATTCTTGGTAAATTGTCAAAAACAACCTACTTACAGGTTATTAAGATTGTGTCAATCCACATATACCTTAAGATTCTTTGTAGTCATCACTACCTATTAAAATATGGAAGTAGCTTTTGTGGAGGGTGGAAGGATATCTGGAGAGGGCAGGAGTAGTGGGGGATGGTCAAGATGTGATATGTATGTGTGCCTGTTCCCCAAGATAAACGAAAACCATAACAGTGTAAATATGAGCATGTATTTTAGCCGTTTTCATACAAGCATGCTGACAGCACCTTTTATGATACAACTTAACATCGCTGAAGTGGTATGCAGAATAAAACGTCTGCTTTCAGAAACGGTTCATTTTGAAGGTCTGGGCATTATACCCTTTTTAAAACAAAACAAATAGATGTACAAGGGCACAGTATGTAATGCATATCATAATAAACACGTCACAGACACACAATCCCTCAGTACACGTCATCTGGGAAAAAACAGAAAACTGCCTTTGGAATAACTGGCTAAACTTTTCTTGTTCTTCTTTCCAAGACTTCTTTCTCAGAAACTTTCCCTAACTACATCCATTTTCCAAACTGTCAATTTAGTTACCAACCCATACCCTTCCCCCTTAGGGGGGAAAAAAACTCTCAACAAGTGTTGGTTTATACAGTAAAGTTTTAATTATCAATGTAAATGTAGTAAGAGTGAATTTAATATCATCTGCAGTAACACGAGATATAGAGCACTATCTAGGATTCACAGTACAATATCTAGGATTCACAGCACAACCTAAAATACCTCTAAACCTTACCGAAGGCAAGAGACTGCTCTTCTGCATCCTATTTTATTGTCAGCCTTTTCCCAGGCACTATTGAGAAATTAGGCATGCGCAGAGAGCTAATGTACAGAGACTTTAATTAAAGAGACTTCCAAACCAAAAGGGAGACAAATCTATTTCTGGATGGCTCTGGTGACTCTCTTCCTTAGCCCTTTGGGTGGTGTGGCAGACTTGGCACAAAGGATTGTCAGGGGGAAAACAGTTTTCCCTAATAATAGATGGGAGACTATGCCCTACTCTACACTTTTTCAAACAAGGTCACTGACCCCAGCAGGAAGTTTCCACTGTTACATGATCAACCGGGTATTCGCTCTTCTATTTCCCTGTAATTTTAAGCATGTGTGAGGGGAGGGTCTCTCACAGAAACACTTTCCATGGTGAGCACAGCTGAATCTGGTCCAAGTACACCTCTCTGGGAACAATGTTAGCTTAGGAGATATTATATATACTCTGTTGTTTCTCTATTAAGATTCTATAAAGTCTACCTTATGCCTATTGCATGGGTCACCAGTATATGCCATAGGCTAGGGCAAAGCAGGAGCAACAGTTAAATGAAGAAATTAGAAATCACCTTTGGAGCTCTTAATGGCTGTGAAAACTTTCATGTGTAGGATTTATTATTTGAATGATACCTGGAAATATGGTATATATTTCATAATTAGATAATCCCTTTTCTTAATAGATAATAGCTTCTTTGACTACTCAGTCTATATTTTCCTTCCTTGTGCTTCTTTGTTAGATAGAGATTTTTATTATTTCATTTATGACGTTCTAGCTTTTCCTTTTCACTTGTTTTTGTTTGTTGCCCATCTCATCGAGTCAAATGCAAACACAAGAGAGGGGGTTTAATCTTTCTGAGCTGTCAGCAGAACCTAATACCTAGAAACGTATTTAGTATATGCAGGTGACACAAACATTTATTGAATGAGTTTGGTGAATAAATGAGTGTAGAAGTTTAACAGCTAACTATACAGTCTATGGAGGAAAAAGGGGCATCTATTAATACTCCTTTTTTCCTGCATATTTCGTATTTTGCAATAAGCCTAAGTGGTATGGGAGGGCAGATTCTAAACAAAAAGCTTAAGAAAGAGGGTGGCATAATTCTCAAAAGTAAAACATAGAAATAGTTTACATTTCCATTTCTTAAAGGTGTGAATTTCAATGCTGTAAAAAGAAAATATAAAACATATATGATGTGAAACTAAATTACTAAAATCTATTGTTTGATTAAATATTTGCCAATAACCCATTCCCTAACCGAAATAAAAAATTCTGCAAAGCACAAAACTTGCACTTTATTGTAACCAATACCAGGTGTCTGTTCAGGTGGGGTCTCCTTACTTCACTCCCATCCACTGTATGAAGGTTGGGATACTTTTCCAAAGTATTTCAGAAATTCTATTAGGATCTAAGAAGTAACCCAAAATGAAGGATGGTAAATAATTTTATGCCATGTGCTTAATAGTTTGAACTTTCTAATTAATAATATTTAACCTAAAGCTGTTATGGATAATTCTATAAAGAATATCAAGCTGAAACACCTGTTTTATATTTCCCATTACTGTCCTTAGTCTAGACTCCCAAGAAATTTAATTAGTTACTGGCTTTTCCCTGAGCACATTCTGTAAATCCTATATACCCTCTTCTTTGCCGCAAAGAAAGTTTCTGCCACTTGGTAAATTTTTTCCTCACATTTTCCTATAAAATTCAACTCTTTATTATATTAAATGCTCTGTACTTTTCAACCTAGCTAGAAATAAGTTTCCACCTTTTTGATGGAGCTTCTTGGTAACTTGTTATAGAGTACACCTTCTGTATCACTGTCTTACTTATTTTGTACACATCTTGTCTACTCTACTAGACTGTTAATGCACTAAGGGAAATGACCATGTTTGCTAAACTTTTATACCCTGCAAAATCTAGCTCACTGCTTTAATTATCATGACAGCCAGTCAGTGTTTCCTCATTAGCAAGAAACTGAGTTGAAATGAAATAATCTCCCTCATAAAGTTAGAGAATATTACATCAGTAAATATTTCTAAGGCAAAAAAGACATGTAAGAGGAGTTATTCGACATTCTTTCTGTTTTCCCCCTGATCCTGATGTCATGTATTCCCTATCAGCCTCAGCCTGCTATTCCCCACTGGATGCGGCTTCTATTTGCTACTTTACACTGTGACCCATCACAGTGTAGGGGCTGGCAGAATAGGGGCTGGCAAGGCAGAGACACCTCATAGTAACACTTTCACAGCCCTTATTAAAGGTTTTCCCAAAGGCCTGTGGAACATGTCTGAGACTGCTTTGGTATGTTTTTATTTGAGACTAAAGATTCTCTTTAAAATACTTAAAGTTTCTATTTGCTGAGATGGAATAAGTATATAGTCTACCAAATTCATTAGCAGCAACTACATAAATGTTCAATATTACAACAGTGTATGAAAAGGTATTAGTTCATGTTCTGCAGGGAGATAAATTACAGGGTTTTACACATTTTCAATGCTTTTATTTTTTCATGTTTTCATAGAAAACTACAGAAACATGCCATGCTCTACAGTAATCTGAGCTTGACTGCAAAGAGCGTCATGCTTTATTTCTATTTGCATGCAACAAAAAGATGATTAAGTTTGCATAAAAGTTTAATACTTTCATTTATAACTACTCAAATTTTCATAGAGAGCTGACCATCCACAATTTGCAAAGTAAAGGAACAAACTATAAGTATCCTGCCATAAGTTTACACAACAAAAAGTAAGCTAAACCAATGTGTAATATTCTCTTCATATATTAAAAATATATATCAGCAAAAATATTGACAAGAATTACAAGAACTAAAAGTGAAATTTTTCAAAACTTCTGGCTATTAATCGTCACACTTATTACCTATTGCTAATTCATCTGAGTCTGTAATGAAGAGATATTAAAAATAGTAATGAAGCACAGAACTGAAAACTTTTAGGTAATTATTTTGGCTTTTCTGCATGGTAATCAAAACCAAAACTTCATACATTAGGCTCTATATAGTTGAGGAGTAAATGCCTCATGTTCATTTAATTGGAATTCTCACTAACTTCTGTCAATGACCAAAAGGAAGCACTGACACAGTTTCATCAAGGGACTGAATAAATCAAAAGACAGAACACTGTTTAAAGAAGTTGCTTACATATCTAGGTCATGCATCTTGATAATCAACTTTAAAACAAAGGTCAGTTCCTTAATCTCTGAAAATTTAATTGCTCAAACAGAAAGCAGAACTATGTATTTGCACTTTGGCCTTTGTTCTTAAATTTTTCATTTAAAATTTTTGATTATTTGGAACTGCATCCAAAATCTTCAGTCTTAGACATCTAAGGTTTCATGTATTTTCCATTTAAAATTAGTTCCATAGATAAGACTATGATAACATAAACAAAAATATAAATCAAGGAGTTTTGTATTTAGGCTACTTTTATCATTTAAAAAAATGAACTGATAAAATTAGAAAAAGAATGTATTTATAAAAAATGATTTACCTTTCTTCATTTGGTCTTTGACTTTGAACGCCAGAGATCTGTGATAAAGATAATACAAAATTTAAATATACCAAATGTGCACATAAATGCTTATATTAAATCATTTAGAAAATTATTCAAAATAGTTTTCTTAATACAATTGTATAAGACTACAGCACCAAAAAAGCTAAAGAAGTTACTGTATTTTACCATTGAGAGAGATATTATGCAATAACAGACATAAAAATTATACTTCATGTTTCAAATTAAGAGCAAAGGAGGCTTCTATACTTTATAAATGATAATTATTTTTAACATGCATTTTATTTTATTTTTAATATGAATTTTGAAGAACTTACAATACACACAACACGCTAACATGGTAGTGCTTTTTTGGTAACTTATAAATTTCTTAAAAAGCATATTGAGAACACATATTCAAAATATGTTTTTTGAGGTTTTATAATTGAAATGTATAATTTTATTAATAGATTATTTCTTGTGGACATAACAGATATTTCCCTATAGTGTAAGTGCTGATTCCGGGTTTTACTTTAAACTTGAACTTCCCCTAACTTGGTTTCTTTTATCCAGAGATCCGCTGGCTTTATCCTTTCCCATGTATGGAAAAGATCTGGATATTCATCAAATTTGTTTGCCTTTCGTCTTATTCACATCACTAGTCTACTTCGCTAAGTGTCCCCTGCAGTTAAATGTGGCAGGCTGAGCATGAAAGGAAACAATCTGCACTACTTTCAGCCTGGTCAATGGAAATGACTGTGTCTGTCCTCCACACTCTTTTCTGAGAGCTGGGTGTCTATGCTAAATGTGGCATAGGAAGTCAACATGTAAGACGGTAAGGATTTCATATGCCACAGTATTGGATGACCTTGTAGACAGTTCTTTATTACGAACAGTGACCTTGAAGTTCTCTGAACTATTGCCACAAGGAAATAAGCTATTGCATTTGAGCCATTATATAATTTATGTCTATGTCACAAGATTTGGCTAATACATTAAGATAATATGAGGCTATTTTCATAGCCTATGCAGATAAAATTAAACCATGGACACCACATAACATTTACTGAGTGCTCCAGACATTCAAAGGCAGTTCATAAAAATTATTTCATTTTATTCTCACTATATTCTTATAAAGTATTATCATTCCCCATTAAGATTTAAAAATGAGCTCTACTGAACAACTTTAAAAGCAGATACAAAACCAAAAAATATATTACTTGCACCAATGTGTCATTATGATATATAGGACAGAATTTTCACATAATCTAATGTCCAGTAGTAGAGATCCAAGCATTTTTCCTCTAACCCTAGATTTTAGGTTTCTATCTCCAATAATGAAAGGCAATAAGCTGGCACCTTAGTGAAGGCCACATCAAGAGCACTGGGAGCTACCCGCTGCAGATAAAACAACCTTGACATTAACATGCCACAGCCCCACCAAGGGCACGATACTAGGAGAGCTGTATTAACATGAAAATGATACCAGTTTTTAAATAATATATAATACCTTGTTAATTATAGCATCAGCAAGAGAAGAAAAATCCATCTGCCTCACTGATGTACAAGTTTTTTAAGAACATAGACCGCACATAGTACTTCTTTACTCAGAAACTTTCAGTGGTTTTTTCTCAATACTGAAAATCAAACTGGTAATTTTCATAGCCTCACACCAATCTACGCATAGTAGGCAGCCTCTAAAATGTTTCCCAGTGATCTCTAACTAATGGCATTCTGCCGACAACGTGCTCTTCTGTGTGCACGGGTCTTCACGACTACTTCTGCTTACTTTCTGAAGAATATGACATGGGAAAAATAAGATGCCATTTCTGAGATTAGCTTCTTCTCCTTCTCCTCCTCCTCTTCCTTCTACTTCTTTCTCTGCTTTATCTTCCCCATCTTATCCCACTCTCAACTCCTATCTTGCTTCCTGCTTCCTCCTCCTTGCAAGCATCCTCATGGAGAGGTCCCAGGCAAGATACTGATGCCTTAAGTCAAAAACCATCAAGGAACTGAGGCCTCAAAAGAACTGCATGATTGAGAGAGCTTTGAAATACACCCTCTTCCACTTCCATCTGAAGACAAATTCAGCCACGGCTCATAGCATGACACCAAACTTGTGACAGACTCAGCCACAGGACTCAGGGAAGGCCATCTGGATCCCTGGTCCATTGAATACTGTGAGAGATTAACATGTTGTGCAAACCACTTAACCCGGGGGCAATTTATTATACAGCAACAGGTAAGTGAAATAGTATTTTATGTTTCTCATGTTTCAACCAATGAATTTTAGGAAAGTAAGGAAGGATGGAAAACAGTATATCAGACAAAGACAACAAAATATACAGAATCCTGAAAGTGACAGAACAGTATGTTCCAGGAACTTAAGTGTGTTCATTGCAGCTAAAGCATCCATTATGTGCTGGTGTGCATGAGAATGTTGAAAACATGTGCCTTGCCGGGAAGGGGTCATGAAAGATCAGGCTTAGATCTCAAGAAAGGATCAGCCTTCAGACTGAAGTTCAAGGAAGTCTAAATCAACTGCACAAGAGAAAGAGTATTTTTTAGAGTTTTTCCTCCATAGTTTTGTATTGTAGTACAGGGATACCTCAGTTGTGGAACTAAACCTGTTCCCAACTCATGTTTGAACACCAAAAAGTTCGAGAACTGAACATATTTTCCCCATAAGAAATAATGGAAAACCAACTAATTGGTTTTGAGACCCCAAAACTGCACTTATAAATTCATTTTTCCAACACTTCAACAAATTTCACAAGGATTTCTTTCTTTAACTCTAAAGTGGTTCTCACAGTTTTCCTCATAGCTTTATTGCTGGTATCACTAACTTTTTTTGAAGCCATGGATTATGATATTTTAACGAAAATAAAGTGCAAAAAAAGGCAGAATGATGCTAACATAGGTGCTGCATGTTGTCTGGGTGAGAGCAGAGCTTTACACTGAGCATCACCTTTTGTGGCAGCAGCAACATGCAAGCATGACTTACTTCTGGGCCCGTGGGTTTTTTCAGGTTGGATTTTGAAAGTTACAAACATGAAGCAGATTTTTTTTTTATACTTTTCTGTTTGAGTAGTGGAAAATTAAGAGCTTGGAGTGGCTTGACACTGAGATGTCACTGTAGTTTATCGAAGAATAGTCTTTGAAACTATTTTCTTCTGGTTCTCAACTCTCACGTGCTTAATTCCAAATCAGTGTGTAGTTAACTGATAACTTCGTACTCAAAATGATACTTAACAATTACACCCAGAAAGTAAAGGCAAAAGTCCAAACAAAGAATTATGTGTACAAGTGAAGTAAGAAATAATAGGAAAGGTAACTTTACTATAGCACGTAACACTCCAGTTATTTCCTTACCTGTGGATAGTCTTGAATTTTATCACTTGTCTTTTGTCCCTGTGAATAGGACTTTATCTTACTGGTAGCTTTTATTTTATCAGGACCCATTTCGGCTATTCTGTTGTTCTTGTCATCACTGGTAATGGATTCCGCTGCTTGATTTAGGACATGGTTAAGCTGATGCTTACTTCTTTCAGCCTCCTGTTTTTGAGAAAGTTCAGTTTGTTACACAGTATCTCCTGTGACACTGTTCTACCAGCACCTTCCGGATGTGCGTATTTTTATACCCACATTACTTCTCAACTTTTATTTACTAGTTAGAAGAAGCTAAGTTAAGCTAAGTTAAGGTATAGTCAATAGTTGAAAGACTCCAAATTAAAATTAAAGACTTTTGAAATACCTCTTCCTGTTTCGAGGAGTAGTTTTAATATCCAAGTGTTTTTCCAAGTTGATAATTTTTAAGATTCTAATTACTATATGGGTAAAATAAAAACTAATAAAAGGTAAAGATTATTGAAAGTGGTATACAGTAAATAAGACAAAATCCATTAATATCCATCAAAGAATGAAAGAAAAGGTAAAACTTATTTCTTCTAAAATGAAAATTTTCTTTACCGTATCTTTTAATTTTATTACCAAGAAAATACAGATCAAAAAAAGAACATACAAAAAATCTCCCCACATTGAAAAAACACTGTTAACATTACACTGTAAATCTTTTTATCTGCTTCAAAACATAGCTAGAACATATATCTATACATTTTTATTTTTATCTATGAATCATGCTATTTGAATGTCTCCATAAAAACATATATTAAAATTTAAGACTAAATTTAGTAATATATCATAATTTCTTATCGGTGATCCTTTCAATCATTTGAAAATTTTGCTATTAAGATATTAGTTATACATGAGTGTAAAATTTCTGTACATTTTTATTCTTAAGTGAACTACTAAAAGACAGTTATTAAGTGAAATTGTTATCTTTCCAAGATTTTTTCCTCCAGAAAATTAACAATTCACACTGTTTAACAGAAGCATGTAAAAGATTGATCATTTCAACATACATCAACAAATACTAGATTCTTCTGTTCCCTAAAATTTTAGACAGTAAATTATAAAAATCCCACTATTACTTTAAATTGCATTTATTTGATAAGTGAAAGTGAATTATCTATGTTTGTATGTATTTATTGATCATGTGTGTTTCTTAATCATGACCTGCCTAGTTGTGTATTACAGGGGGTGGCTATACGTATTTCTTTTAGATGTATGAAATATCTTCATATAAATTATTTTACAAGCATTCTCATTTTTGTGGCTCTATGGATTGAAGCTGCTAACCCATCTCTTACTTTTTATGTGAGACTGGGTCTCTTTAAGTCACTAAGTTGTTCAAGGTGAGCTCAAACTTGTGATCCTTCTGCCTCAGCCTCTCAGAGTGTTGGGATAACAAAAGGTGTGTACTACCATGAATGGATGTGTGCGTGTGTATGTATGTTTTGTCATAAAGATTTACAATGACATAGAACAAAATTCATTAACATATTTGTTTGGGGGCTGATACTTTAAAAGCCTTGCTATAGTCAAGAACATTTAGCTGTTATTCAATCCTCACAACTCATTTATTCATTTTGGATGTCAAATCACTATGTATCAAATTTGGTATTTCATGAAACAGAAATTTATTTTTTTTCAAATGTTTACTTTGTGTGACTATTTTACTTTTCTATGAAAAGTTTTACCTAAAATTATATAAAATGGTAAATCATTGAATTTAGTTGAATTTATTTTTGAACTTTTCATTCAGTACCAGAACCTCACTGTAACTCTTGTACAATTTACTTAATTTAATTATTTAATTAACTAATTTATTTTTTTCTTCTTGAGGGTTTCAGTGTACGGGTCAGGTTGGCCCTGAACTCACTTTGTAACCCAGGCTGGCCTCAAACTCAAAGTGATCCTCCTGCCTCAGCTTCCTGAATGCTGGGATTATAGGCATGTGCCACCAAGTCTGGCTGTGCAATCAAATTTATAATTTAGTTATTGTATAATGATTGTATAATCACTATCTATGGACTTTTGGATGAGTAAACCTTCCTTAATTATTTCTTTATATAATTTCTTATGTTTTTATATAATAATTTATTACTCAAAAATAATGTCATTTATATCCAAAACTAAATTTCCTTAAGTTTGTACATCATAGAAATACTGGTGCTAAACTTTCAAAGCCAATTACATCATTTATATTTCTTCATTGTTCAACTATGTCCCATGGTAATATACAGTATTTTTCTCCATTAAAGCTCTCTGTATGTTTTTGTTAAAAATGCTATCCTAATGTCATATTTGAGTAATATTTTGGATAATTATTTTATATACTGCTTTCCAAACAACATGAATAAATATTTTAAGTGATTCTTTTAGATAAAAAGAACATCTATCACTTTTTTATTTTAGTCTATTTTAAAACATACTTTGTCCCTATGCTTTAAAATTATTTTAATAGTAAGTACCTTTAATGACTATCATAATACAAATTGAATACAAATAATTATGTTTTTTTTTACTTAAGAAAATGTAGCACTTTTCATTCTTTTACTGTTTAAGGAAAATTTGAAAAAGAACAATAAAAGCCAGTGTCTTCATTTAACTTAGTTTTAATTTCCTGCAGTCTTTTACTCTTGAATATGTTGCCTATTAGTTTGAAATCAATTGCTTTGATTAAAAAGTTTATTTTCTTTGATTACTTCTTGATAAGAGTAAATAGTATATTCAGGTAGTAGCATTACATACATGAATATATTTAAACCACTCAAGGTAGTAAAATATATGGGTCTATTAATTTATAAGGTCAAATTACTCATTTAAAATATATTTTTATAGATACAGCATTTTTCTTATTTATAACAATTTTAATAGAAACATAATACTCTTTACCAGTAATGCCTCCTTAAGTTTTTCCTGAAGGGCTTTGTTCTCAATTTTCAGGTCATCTGCTACTTTCTAGGAAATAACAAAGACAAAAAGGTATTAATTTTTACATTTTTAAGCATTTATTTTTACAAATTTTACTTTTCAATGATTTACAGATAGCCAAGATGATTATTTGAACACACTTCTAACTTGAGATAAACAGAAACTTTGAAATCTGTAAAATTTCTAAGTTTCAAAGAAAAGTCAAAACAATGAGTAAGGACATTGACCCTTAGAAAATATCAAACTACAGACATTCCTGGAACTATCTACTAATCAGGGATCAAACTCATGACCTTGTGCTTGCCAGGCAGATGCTTTCCTGCTGATGTATTTCCCTGACAATCTACTTAATTTTTATATGACAGGAAAATAATATTCTATCCTACATGTTTATTTAACTACCTGGGATCCCTTTATAGTGTACCCTACTCTGTGTTTCACCAAAGATTTAGAGAATTAAAATACAGTAATGAAACAAAACTAGATTTAATTGAAGTCTACCCATGAGAAAGCAGAGAGAGAGAAAATGAGTGCATATCTCCCACTGTGGTAGACTACTACAAATGGTCATAAATTCTTTACAGTAGCTCTCATGAAAAGGTGGATTCTAGTCCCTCATTCCTTGCAGCTGAGCTAGTTTGTCACCTTTTGGCAAATACAGTACAATGCAAATGGTCCTATGTGTGATCTGAGCTTCAGCTTCAAGGCAAGGTTCAGCTTTGTTTTATTCTCTTGGAAACCAGTCTATGCACCACCAAGGCTAGCCCCCTGGAAGACAAGAGACTGGAAAGAGGTCTAATCTTTCTGGACTGTTGCAGCTGGAACCTCTGACTTTTGAGTGAAACTGGCCAAGATCATATAACCTATGCTATCACATCCTGACATAGATCCCTGATCTCCCAAACGAGTATATGGTGGAGGCTTACATAAAATAAGTGGTATGATTTTAGGGCTCCAGGAGGGTCAAGACCCATTAGCTGAGCTCGAGACTCTAAGGGCTAAGACAAAGCCTTCTCTGGATTGCCCATTTTTAATAGGTCCAACAACAAAGGGCCAGGAAACTGAGGAAAGCATGGGAAACGAGCAGGACCTTAGGAGTAGTAGTAGTAAATTATCATGAAGACATGGTGAAAGTGAGACAATAGGAGTAATTTCTGCAGCTGCAGTCTCTATCGCCTTAATTGATATTTGACCCAATTGTCCACAGCTGTGGCCTTATCTTGCCTTTTGAGGTATCTTTGGCTTCAGGACCAGTGATTCATAAGAGGTTCATTTACTATGAATCAGCTCCTGTTGCTAGGCAAAGGGCCAAGGCCTAAGACAGACTCACAGATAAACACAGAAAGCCAATTAGTTAATTTTAAATCCTGCTCAGAGCTGCTCTGTAATGGTCTCCAATACTATGCTAAATTGGAAACAGAGAAATAACCTATCTTGCCAGTGAGACAAATGATGGATCTGATATTTTAAATAACTAAATATGTAAATAACTAAGTTCTGAGTAATTTTTTATTCAGGAAATTCTAGCTGGTTTACTTAGTGACAAAAAATTTACATTGTTTTATGTTACTAGGACATTTACTAAACTTGAAAGTTGTTTTATATGTTTCTGTAAATGAATGTCAACAATTCCTTCCACCCTTATGTGTGTGCTATTTAAATATGAACTTCCTTATAGAATGTGAAGAAACAATTTCAAGGCCCTCCAGTTCCAGGTTATAGGAAACTTTTGTCATTTTCCCTTTTTCTATTTGTGTTCCTGGAACCATATAAGGATCCTGGGATATCAAATGAATGATGTGACAACAGTCCTGTGAGAGATACAATCTCAGCTCACTGTAGGCACAGATAAAATTTCAGTGAGCATAAACAAAGCCACTCTCCAGCTGATTTCAGAAAACCTATGAATTGTGAGATAATAAACCATTATTGTTAAATAAACTTAATTTACTAAATTTGAGGATAAATTGATATTAAGCAACAAAAATTCCTGGAAGTGGAGTGACACAACAACAAAACCTAAAACTTGAGGTAGTGGCTTTGGGTGCAGCAGGAGAGCAGAAGCTGGAAGGGTGATAAAGAGACCAGGAGTGAAGGAATGTTAACACTTGTTAGTGAACCCTGTAAAAGGAAGGAGGATACAAAGTTAGCCCTGGAGACTGGTAACTGGGGAGGGACTGTGTTATATAGAACAGTTAACACTTGGGCTTAGTAAAACTGTGAATCAGGCTACAGACAATTCCAGATTAAATGGTAATAGTACTATTTGGGTTATATTAGTGACCTACAACCAGATCATTACAAAAAGAGAAATAAGGAGCATCATGCCAGTTTTGTCATTAAAAGTGCATTATTAGAAGTATATAATATCCACATCTATTCTTTACAATATTTCTATTCTTTATTAATTTTATGAATTTTACTAAACACTGAGTACTTAACAGAAAAAATATAAAAAAACTAAAGTACTGAATTGGTAATATTTATTGCTCATCGAAAAACATCAACATTTTCAACATCAATTTTCTAAAAAATAAAAATACAAATAAATTCCTATATGAACTACAGTGAAAATAACATAATTCTACAAAAACAATCTTTACTTCAATTATCACTAGTAAGGCAGTCTTCACACATGACAACAGCATGTTCCACACACACATATGGTATCACTTACACTGACAGCACATGTGTTTTGCTTTCCTGGCCATTCTGTAGGACATACCTGACATCTTGCTGGTCTTGATGTTTTTTTTTTTTTTTGTGGAGGTTTTAATTATATTGTACAATGTATAGTTAGCAGGAACATAAAATATCAATAAAATAAAACATTAAATTCTTAGTATGTACTGCACATTTAAAATAAACATTTCATATCAGCTGTATACTTGCTTATAAAACCTAAAAGATAACATCAGAAATAAATTCCTACATGAACTACTGAGGTGGGGAAACCTGAATCAATAGTAGCCAGGAGCTCAGGAGAAGAAAGGAAATTTTACTGATGCTAGCAGACCCCAGAAGAGTAATTTACAAAGTCTGAGGTAAGGTTTATAGAAAGCTTGTCTTTTTGTAAGTTGGTGAACAAAAGTTACAAGAATAAGGTAAGACTTGTTGAAAGCTTTGGTCCAATGGGTATCATGTGGTGAGCATGGTGATGAGTATAGTTTTATATGTAGCAACTTTGTATCACACTCACAGGTTTTAATTTGGTGACAAATCATATAATTTAGCTGAGTTCAGCAGAAGAGAATACAACGACTGCAGCTTTATTTAACAAAATGGCTACAATTAGGTCAGGATTTCTGCTTCACTATAATGAAACTACCAATAGAACTCTACAACAAAAATATTCTTTGCCTCAACTTCACACTCAAGGCAGTCTTCACACATGACCACTGCACACTGCATACACACATCTCACTCTGACAGCACATGTGCCTAGCTTTACTCTGTAGCAGGCCATCCTTTTCATATTCCATCTTCCTGAGATACCAAGAGCTTTCTTCTACACCATACAATGACTCTATTTATCAGGAGAATAAGATACCAATAAAACAAAATACCAAATATGTAATGAGTGCTTAGAAAAGACATTTACATTTTCATATCAGTTGTTTACTTGTTTCCAATACCTAAAAGATAACTCAAAAATAAGTTTGTGAATTTGAATGTGAATACAAACAAAACTTCACCACTTAAATAATCTTAGCATCTAGTATCACACACAAGGCAGTCTCCACACATGAAAACTGCATTGTCCATACACTAGTGTCATTTACACTGAAACACTTATGTTTTGCTTTCCTGTCCTTTTCTGCAGGACACAGCTGACATTGTTTTGGTTTCCCTGTTGTTGCTGCAGGTCTTTATGATGTTGTGCCTGTCTGTTCATCTATCAATTCACCAATGTGCTCCACAATTTCTTTTTGCATAGTTCCCTGGCAAGAAACATTTTCTCTTTCCTCTGCTATAAATAATCTCTTATTAATTCCAGTTCCAATCTTCTAAGAAACTTTCCCTCTAATATTTTTCACTTATCATTTTCTTTGTAAACTATAAGCTATTTATGCCACATATGTTTATGATTGAGTAAAACACAACCATTGGCCAATGCTTTGGGTTTTGAGTGACATCACAGTTGCTGCATAATTCATCAAAAACATCTATCCTTCTTTGGTTTTGTTGTTGAAAGTTACCATCTCAGGCTTCTGTTTTGCCAAGGTTTCCCTATCAATCTTTTCATCATGGGGTAATGTTGACATCAGCAGTACCAGTTTACTTTTTTGCCATATATGAGGTCAATGTTACATTTTTCTGAAATCCGAAAATTGTATATACAACTCTCTGTTTTGAAATCATGACATTTTGTTTGGAATTTCTGCTTTGTTCTTGTGTATGGTTCCTATGTTGGTCAATTTGGGCTGTGTTGGCAAATATAACACCAGTTGGAAACTGGTAAACTGACTGTTGAATGTCACATTCCAATTATTTTGGAAGATGGGAGCAACTTATGTTCAGAACATAAGTTGGCTTACTACTATATGAATAAAGACCTGGTGGCTAAGTTCAGGAAAAGTTTTTTGAATTTTTTTTGAAGCAGGGTCTCAATATGTAGGTCAGGCTGGCCTCAAACTCATGATGATCTTCCTACCTCGGCCTCTTGAGTGCTAAGATTACAGGCATATATTACCACACATGGCCTCAGGATGAACTTCTAAATTGAAAGCATAATAAATTGTTATATCTACAAAGGCATAAATTTTTATACCACATTGCAAAGATTTTAGGGAATATATTGCCTGAAGCTACACTGACTATTAAATACTGCAATATGTTCATCAACAAGTCATGTATTCAGGTTGTATGTAAATTGCTTCACAATTACAAATCTCTCCAGAAATAAGTGGATAGTAGCCAGATTGCAAGTTCTTTTTCTTTCTTGGGGGTTGGTTTTGTCATCAAACCTCAGGCAATTTTGAAGGAAACCAGATCTCCTCGGTGCCATCATTATTCTACAAACTCCA